AGTACAATTGCTTCCTGCATGGGCCCTAGCTGGATTTACATCACCCCTTCAGTTGTCAGCAATTTAGATACATCTAGCCATGCATTAAAATTACACATATTCTACGACAGCATGTATAGAAGGGGTGGAATATGGATCCAACTGTAGGGCTGACTGCAGTGCCCGGATGTGTGAGGGAGGGAGTGTCTCTTGCCCCCAGGATTCAGGCCACTGTGAGAGCGGATGCCAGTCAGGGTTTAAGGGAGAAGACTGCACCACTGGTAAATATTTCATTCGCTTTAAATTTTGCATCTTGCAGTTCATATTTTGAAAAAAATACCAATACATTTTCAGAAGCTCCTTGTCTGTGTGGGATCCTTCGAAATGTATTATCTCTCTATCTTACTCCTAACTGCTCCAAAAAGTCTTCTGTAAAGTCGTTAACACCTTTTATACTAAAGTTGTTCACTAAGAAAAGACCACGTGAAAGTCGTTTTGTTTTCTTCTCTGTTGTAAGTAATCGATATGCCATCGATGATTAACCCTGGTGCCGTAGCAGGATCAAGTGTTGCAGTCGTTGCCGTCGTCGCCATCATTACTGCACTTTCAGTTCTCCTCAGGTAACACTAACACGTGAAAAGCTGCTCTCGGAGAGACAAAGTGCGCTGAGTTTCGCTTAGGTGTTTAGGATCATTGCGTCGGCATTGTCTGCTCGATTCAATTATGTCACATTTTTCAAGAAGCAGGTCACAGGAGGAAGTTCAATTACTTAGCTCAATTATAACGTGTAAATCAGCTTTCTGAATTAAAAGACGTTACATTAGTCTGGCACAAATTCAGACATTCGTAAACCTTTGTCTTGTTTTTCGTATATCTTGGCAACCACAATATCCGTTTGACAATTATACTTTAATGACAGTGAATGCTCTCCTCGTTAGGCTTGCACCGACCTTGAAGATCCGGGTTAGAACTGGCCTTCTGCAATCCTTGCTTGTCGTAACAGGCGACTAATCGGATCGGGTGGTCAGGTTCGCTTACTTGGTTGACACAAATGCGTAAATCGATGCTCATGCCGTTGATCACTGGATTGTCTGATCCAGACTTAATTATTTACAGACCGCTGCCATGAAGCTGAATATTGCTGAGTGCGGCGTTGAACAACAAACCGAACTAAAAGCAAAACATGCGTCATCCCATATGACCACGTAAGAGGCGACTAACGGGATCGGGTGGTCAGGATCGCGGACTTGGTCGACCCATGTCATCGGTTCCCAATTGCGCAGGTCGATGTTCATGCTGTTGATCACTGGATTGTCTGGTCAAGCCTCGATTATTTACAGACCGCCACCATATAGCTTGAATATTGCTGAGTGCGGCGTAAAACTAAACTCAATCACCCATATGACCAGGGCATTAGAAACAAAAAGGGTGTCATAATCATAAAGAACTGAGGATTTCGTGAAAATCAAGACGAGAGATCATCTGTGTTGTCCGTGCTCTCAAAAGGGTGACTACATGAGTCAGTCCTGGATAGAGCCCTGATGTCCTTTTATCCCAGTTGAGTTGATCGATGTCATGATTGGATTATCTGGATCAGGATGGATTATAACTCGACGGGATATCATGACACGATAAACTTTCTTTGAAAATACTTGTCACATTTACATCGGTTACCAGGACAATTTATCCCTTGTCTCCATAAGTAGGATATGACAATAAATAACTACATGAAACAATGCATAATGTACAGGAACACAGAATTAAGGAGGTAATGTATGAATTACCCAATCTTGGTATCACTGTATAATTGTTTGTTAAATGTCGGAACTGCACACTAAACTGAATTTCTTTTTCAGAAGTGAGAGGAATCCTCGTCCAAACCTGTCGGATGGTGACATATATCTGTTTAAAATACATAAAGGTCAGACCCACAAATTTTATGATGCCACAATAATACATAATACACAATCGTCTTAATAATTACACATGATCTGTTTTGTTGGTAGTTTGTTTGTTACTTAAAGCCGAACTAAGTAATATACAAGCAGGCATATAACAGCGCTCATATTTCTGCTCTGTAATAGTTTTCATTGTGACATCAGTAATTAATCATCCAGAAAAACGTTTAGTTTATCTCAGTTTCAAGTCACAAAACCATGTTCTCATATTTTATCAGCTATAATTTGTTTAGTTGTTTGGATTATTGTAAAATTATGACGTTGCACATCAGAAAAATGACTGTACATATTCTGTACACAGGTTTCAACATACCTGACAATGGAGGGGACAACCCTGCCCATGACGATGTCGTCGACGAGATGGACAAGGACAAGGACAAGGACAAGAAAAGGGAGGACCACAATATCCTTTACTACACCATAGCATATGTTGACGAACCCGCCAATGACAAGGACAAGGACAACAAAAAAAATAACAGTGGCCACAATGCCCTGTACTATACCATAGCGAAGGTTGACAAACCAGCTCACGAGGGTGTCGTGGAGGACGACAACGACAAGGGCGAGGACAACGTTGAGGCAGATCACAATGCCCTGTTCTATACCATGGCGAAGGTTGACAAAGCAACTCACGAGGGTGTCGTGGAGGACGACAACGACAAGGGCGAGGACAACGTAGTGGCAGATCACAATGCCCTGTTCTATACCATAGCGAAGGTTGACAAAGCAGCTCACGAGGGTGTCTTGGAGGAGGACAAGGGCGAGGACAACGTAGTGGCAGATCACAATGCCCTGTTCTATACCATAGCGAAGGTTGACAAAGCAGCTCACGAGGGTGTCTTGGAGGAGGACAACGACAAGGGCGAGGACAACGTAGTGGCAGATCACAATGCCCTGTTCTATACCATAGCGAAGGTTGACAATCCAGCTGACGAGGGTGTCGTGGAGGAGGACAAGGGCGAGGACAACGTAGTGGCAGATCACAATGCCCTGTTCTATACCATAGCGAAGGTTGACAATCCAGCTGACGAGGGTGTGACAATCCGAGGACAACGTAGTGGCAGATCACAATGCCCTGTTCTATACCATAGCGAAGGTTGACAATCCAGCTGACGAGGGTGTCGTGGAGGAGGACAACGAAAAGGGCGGGGACAATGTAGTGGCAGATCACAATGCCCTGTTCTATACCATAGCGAAGGTTGACAATCCAGTTCACGAGGGTGTCCTGGAGGAGGACAAGGCCAAGGACCGCAATGTCTTGTGCTATAACTATAGTATAGCGAGGGTTTCTGAAGTAACGTATGTGTCTGTAGATCAGCTGGGGGAGCGGATCAAGGAACTGCAGGTGCCCGTCGGGGGATTCCAGGCAGAGTTTCAGGTCAGTTGAATTAAACGTATTTTCCCCGTATGTGTGTGCGTGCGTGTGCGTGCGCGTAAATGTGTAAGTGTATGTGCGTGCGTGTGCATCCGCGTATATGTGCGTGTGTGCATGCGAGCGTGCGCGCGTGTGTGTGTGTTATCGCACAACCAATTTCCTGACGATTGAATTCGGTATTCAGTTTGCTCCTATTGTTTGAATATACGTTGGTAGCTTCGTCATCCATTATGTAATATAAGTATACATATGTACTCTTACTTAATTATCCGTTGATTAACAATTCTTTACCGATGTCAAGTCCATGTGGTACAATCCTCGCATACTCCTTCATATTTGGCAGAAACTTTGCACTCCCTACATCCTATCGTACAGTGACCACAAGCTGGAGGACAACGATGTGTTGACCGAGCTCACTTATCACCCACGTGAGTGGATCAATGATATTTTCAATAAAACATTCATTTACTTGAATGTCACGGGCTATCATAATGCATGACAGGACTTCTTAATTTGATCAAAGGCATAGAATATCAGAGATAAGAGTACAGAGAAAGATATACGTACAATTACATCCGTATCTTCAAAGTCTGCGGCAATTAAATATCAGTGGTGCTTTCGAGAGGTAATGTTATTCTTAAGTTCCTTAGGGTTTAATGATTGTGTTTATATAACCTTTCCTGAAACCAAAATAACTAATATCTGTGTCAATAAACTCACTCCAGGACAGTTGGAGTGATTTCTATTGTGGCCACTTTGTTACTGCTGGGGCGGAAAACCTGCTCACTTTGTAACGATTGTGGATGTATATCCGTGAATGTATTTTATCTTAATTGAAAATGTGACTGGTTACAGCTAGAGGTTCAGATGGCCACTATCATCCATTGCACTCACTGGATCACCAAAACCTCTCATTTAAAATATAGGATTGAAGATTTAGATGTGTTCAAATGCACATGTTACATTTACTTCTTTGATGATCTTAGGTGTTTAGCCCGTCAAAAAGGGTCTCCAATGATGACATAGCAGATATATGTCGTGAGCACCATCAGGTGTACTGTGAACAAACATACACAACCTTCTGCTGTTCATTGGTGTATACCTCTCCATTACAGATGATGCCACTCGGGTCGTGCTGAAGGAGCTGCCAGGCCAGCCTGGTTCCGACTACATCAACGCCAGCTACATCGATGTGAGCTGGATATCATATTTCTTAAAAAGATAAATGGTTGTAAATATATGTGTAACTACGATGATTTTCTGACGCATGATATGTAAGATTGATCTGTTGTATTCATATTTTTATTTTGTCATTAGGGATATTCTCAACCCAAAGCCTACATAGCAGCCCAAGGTACGGTCATTTGTATTTACAGTCATGTCGTGTGTTTTTCTGGTATGTGCAATCTTGGCCTATCTTGGTACTTTCACCCCTGTAATGGTTTTATACAGATAATTACATGACACTGAGGATGACAGTAAGATGAATGCTTTTCATTTGTAGTCAGTAGTTATATGTACTTGTTGTATATATAACACTCCATATATGCTTCATATCTATGTCGATATACTTATGGCTACTTACATATCAAACAGTATTCCCAAGAAATGTTCTTACAAATGCACAAAGTCAGATGAGTATGTGATGTACAGATCCTAACCCCAAAACCCTGACTAACTACTGGAGGATGGTCTGGGATCAGAACTGTACAAGAATCGTCATGCTCACAGACGTCAAGGAATTTGGAAGGGTACGTTTTCAGGAACCCACCACTGATTGTTTTAGAGTAGTTGGTTTTATCATTGAATTCATCGCGTTGGCATGTCATGTGTAACTTCAGCAGCAAAATAACCATTGTAGCATGATCCTATTGTTTGCAAGTTGATTTGTGCTCATGTGAACCTTTCTTGACTTTTTTATCAAAACTGAATTACTAAGCTTTCAACGATGTTATCATATGTGACGTCCATGAGTTTGTATGTAACATTGAGATGGTGGAAACCATGCTGTCAAGACTACATGATAAGATTACATGACTTTGTTGGTTTATCACAGCTGAAGTGCAAAGAGAACTGGTCCGACACATCAGGCATGTATACGGGGGAGTTCAACGTATCAGTGACCGACTGCATTATCCGGGCTCACTGGATCGTCAGAACACTGCAGGTTACAGACAGAAAGGTACGCCACCCACTCATTGCACAAACATGCACTCAAAAGCAACACCCATGCATCGAATATTTAGGCTTTACCATCTTAGCATCATGTTTTGGAAACAATGTTCGTGATATTGCTTAGTCCAAAATATATTCGATACATTGTTTAGTCCTATAGATGTTCGAGACATTGCTCAATCCTATGGAGGTTCGAGAAATTACATTGTCCTCAAGATGTTCAAAACATTGCTCACTCCTGTGGATGTTTCACCATTCTCCATTAGACCAGTAACTTGATACAACACGTGGTTTTGATGGCCTTGGTTTCGTCCCCAGACAAACATAAAGAGATGTTTTCATCAATTCCACTTCGCAACATGGACGAGCGATATAACTCCGGAGGAGACGAACCTGACTGAGTTTCTGTGGCTGGTGAGGACGCTTGGTAACGCACAGCATGGTCCTCTGCTGGTGCACTGCAGGTAAAGTGTCTTGATTTATTAGGCGAAGATCCAGGTCAGAACGGGTCGTTGCAAACCATGCTTGTTGTAGAAAGGGCTGACGGGGTTGTACATCGCCATATTCCAATTGGGTACAATCACTGGATTGTCTTACCCAAACTCTATGATTTACCAAGCACTGCCACATACGTATAAGTTGTGATCCTGTTGAATGCTGCGTTAAACAAAAACAAAAAATCCCGAAAGAGGTTAGGCTATCCTTTTAATAAAACATGTTCCTTGCTGTGTTAAGTGTTCTGTACAAAGTCTGAATGGAAAATATCAACATCATTATAAATAAAATTTGTACTATAAGCCGTTATAGCATAACAGCTTAGTGGTCAAATTCAACCGGTTCCATCAGGCACTTTCACAGAAAAACAAAACAGGTAACTATAATTACATGAAAAGTGACCGCCTCCGTGGTGTAGTGGTTAGAACGTCCGCCCGGAGAGTGGAAGGTCGCGGGTTCGATCCCCGACCGCGTCATACCAAAATACGTTAAAATATGGTGCTTGTTGGTCACTACCTGGCGCTCGGCATTAATGGGTACAACAAGGACTGGTCGGCTCGGAGTCAGTATAATGTGTCTGAGTGGGGTATTCATGCTTTACTGCGGCATGGTATCTCAGTGGGCTAGCACTATAAAACCAGCTTAAGTCTGGGCTAGTACAAGCAGCCGCACATACACATACACGCGCATGCACGTCGTCATATGAGCGAAATATTCTCAAGTACGACGTTAAACCCAATATCACCTCACCTCACATGAAAAGTTCCATGTATAAAGTGCTGAACACTTAATTAAACTTGAGCGAAGAAGTATATGTCATAATGACTCTCTCCCTAGCGATGGCATTGGCCGGACAGGGACCTTCATCGCTCTGGACTACCTGCTGGACCAAGCTCTGGATGAAGATGCAGTGGATGTGTTTGGTTATGTTTTGGGGATGAGAGGCCAGAGGAAGGGCATGGTACAGACGAAGGTGAGACACTGCAACCATGTAACCATGTAACACAGTGAACAAAGCCTTAAAACAGAAAACGATACACAATTTTAACAAATCAGTTCACTCACTTTGCGTGTATAAAACGTCAGTGTTAAAACTTCACAAATCGGCTGCATCCGATCGTGTTTTTATTATGCTGACATCGCTGTCATATTTGATATAAAATATCAACACCAGACAATAATATGTCGTAACATAGTCCATTGGCAGCAAAGGACACAATGGTGTTTGAAATTATCTTAATAGATCACTAACTGCTTAGGAAAAGCACAAACTGCTTCTATTTTAGAATAGTGTAACATATTTATGTGATGGAGCTATAGCATTTACATAAAATATTCTTCCTTTGATGTTTTATTGCTCCAGGAACAGTATACGTGTGTTTAATTCCATAATCACGTTCTGTCATTGTTTATTTTATTATATTAGGAGCAGTACACGTGTGTTTACATGGCCCTGCATGAAACACTCCAGTTTGGAAACACTGTCATCAGCGTTGAGGAATTCAGAAGAAGACGAGATATAAAACGGACATTCACCACAGGACCAATGTCAATCGCTACATTCATAGAGGTACAAATGTAGTTGCTTTGTTATAATACAACTTTAGGTTTAATATCTAACAAAACTTAAATGGATTATATTATGTGTGTGTGTGTGTGTGTGTGTATATATGCATATGTATATGTCTGTATGTATGTGTGTGTGTGTGCGCGTGCGTGCGTGTGTGTATGTGTGTGTTTATAATCAGTACAATGTTCGAATTGTTGCAGACCCTGAACACTGAAAGGAAACAGATACCCCTGGGTGAGTATGGACAAGGTTGAACTGATGTCATCAGCTTTGAGTATCTCACATTTCAGTGTCCTGGCCGTTGGTTGGTTATGGAGGAGTCGCATTAAAACCAACTGCTTTATCCGAAGTTCGGGATCAAAATAAAACAAAAACTGACAACGGAAATGCATTACTCCCCTTGATATGAACTAATCCTATCAGTGATTTCAAAACCACTTTTGTAGTTTTTCGACACATAAAAATGTTGGCACTTTCACCAGATCAAAATCTTAAACGTACATTGCACATGCATATTACCTGTCTTGTCATGACAACAGCGGTAATTGTTCGGGACTTGTTACTGAGGGAGTTTGCTCTCATTTCACATGCTACACTGTTGTGCTGTTCTAACAATGAACTCCTTCAAACCAAAATATGGTAAGATGGTATTTTCAGTTGATATGCATTGTGGTGCTGGTCCTTAGGGGCAAGGGCGTGTTCAGTCTTTTACTTATTCTGCTACTAGTTCTAAACATAGGCAGCGATTGATACAAGACCCGCATCATCCTATCAGCTGTTTTCTATTCACCCCAGGAGAGCACAACTATCCCCTAACTATCTGATCATGAAATCATTAATTTTATTGTCATATGTCTTTTGTTAAACGATATTTATGGCTATTACAGTTCCTCGCAAAATGTAATAAGATATTTTGACATGATAACATAATCAAGGAGGAAAGACACATTCAAACTGCTGTTTCAGGAAACAATGCCAAGGGTCCTGTGCTGATAGATGGCCACCCAGACATCCTAGCTGTAACGTCTCGGGTACGGTGTTTTATATGTTAAATGATGGACCAACACAGAGAACCCTGCAGATCCGGGTTAGATTTGATCTTCAGTAACCCATGCTTGTCGTAAGAGGCGACTAACGAGATCGGGTGCTCAGGGTTGCTGACTTGGTTGACACATGTCATCGTATCCCAGTTGCGTAGATCGATGTTCATCCTGTTGATCACTGGATTGTTTGGTCCGCCGCCATATAGCTGGAATATTGCTGAGTGTGGCGTTAAACAACAAACTAAACCCGACAGAGTGTCAGTACCTATAAATGACAATAAAGTTTTTAACACATACTTCAATGTTCTTGTCCTTTCTTCATTTTGTAAACGACAACCCGAATAACCCTTTAAAACTGAACTGTACGCTTGAACTCGTCATTACTCGCTTCAGTCCTACCTGTCAGTGAACGGCTACCTGTTAACTGAGGCCCCCTCCGTCACCACGGCGTCTCTGTTCTGGAAACTCACAGAGGAACAGGAGTCTTCCACCGTCATTGTCCTGCCAGACTCGCACCAGGTGGGTTATGTTAATCCAGTTGTGGCATCACTTTGTGCACAAACGTTCATTTCCTTGTCGCTAGATTTCCAAACTTGACGCTTTATGTTTCAGAGTCTGTCCAGTTTTGTTCCATCCCCAGGAGACAGCCTGGATCTGGGGCCTGTGACTGTCAGATGTTCCACAGAGGTCCCCGTCAACACAGACATCACCCTCCTGAACATCCATAGACAGGTGGAGGTAGGCTCACTTCACATTACTGAACAAGTATTAACATTGTCGATTTGAAGATAATCAAATCGTAGCTGGTTTCTACAAAGTTGCAAATGAATTATGTATCTCTTATTCACTTGTCTTTCGCTGACAATATTATTGTCATGGCACAGGGTGAGCTCAGGTTGAAAATACGAACAGATTTAAGAAATTGGCTTGAGGCTCTCAGCGATGGAATAAGGAATGTATCTGAAAATGCCAATCGAGAGTTTTACTTGAAACATCATACAGTGTGCCCTGCGGAGATTATAAGTCACAGAGACAAAGTTCTATTTGTTTCTTACTGCACTATATACTGTTTTTTATCAATGCAAATACCCAGAACAGTGACAGTTGTGTTGTCCTCCCCAGCTTCTTGGACGATGTGTAAAACTGATACGAAATGTTTCAAATCCATTGTAATTTTTCTGAACTTTTCCCATGACTATCTCCCTTGAAGAAACACACCAACCAATGTAAAGTAAAGGTGATTAAAAAAGTTTCTTAATCATGATATTCATTTGCTTAACAGAATTCTCCACCATCACACGTGCGTGTGTACATCTTGAACAACTTACCAACCACGACCCCGTCGAGTTTCTTAGAGCTTCTGGAACAAATCGACAAGCACGATGTCAGTCCCCGTACAGTTACCATTATACACAGGTAGGGGAAGTCAAACAAGTAATCGAATATCAAACAGCAAGCCGTTTTTAAAGCTTGCCAAGTCTGACAAGCGAAAAATGAGTTGTCTTTTAAAAGAAATTTGTCGAATACATAATGGCAGATATAAAGTTTAAAGTTAAAGTTTTACTTCACTCTATCAGTGCATTGGAGGCTTTTCTGAATACACCATTATACAGATATACTGATTAAATTGATTTAGATAGCATGTACGTCTATCACGTGCAAGGCATCGCTTTTCTAACGTTGGTTCACCCTGTTTGTTACAGCAATGGCGGTAGACAGAATGCAGCCATGTTGTGCATCCTGAGAAACATTGTCCAAGGCCTGAAGTATGACAAAAGAGCTGAGATCTACAACAACATGAGAGCGATGGTCCATTTGATGGATAAGGACATCACGCAGGTATGTCCACATATAGTTGCAATACATCAAACATTGAAGATATGGTATTTGTGGGTGAATCATTACTACCACTGTGTAAGTGATAATGATCAACGCATGTTATTGAATGCCATTCGGAAATGATCCGAATCCGAAACGATTCGGAAAGACAGGATCATCTCCCTTTTTCACAATCACCTTCGCTGTATTACTTGCAGTTTCTAACAAATACCATGATATGATATAAAGTTACAACCGTGAATGTGCTGTCGTGGCGCTGCATTGTCTTGTCCATCACTTGATTGTCTGGTTTAGTTACACGTCGTGGCCGCAGGTCGGGAGATACAGCCATGTAGCATCAGACAAATATATTCACTTTTACGCATCTTCTTTGGGTCACGGGTGCTACAGGTAGGGACCCGTTTCTCGAACACCTGGTATAATTTCTTATGTTCTGTGATCTATTTCTATAACTTCCCAACGTCTATATCCGTCTGGGGTCGGTTATTAATCGTCACTGGGTATTCTCCGCCGCTGACATTTTAAAATGTATAGATATAAAATGACAGGAGATTATTGAACATATTGTTTGCATGTAACGTTTTCATCATTTTGTCAAGTAAGACTTCAAACCATATTGATCAATGTATGTAATCATGTAGATGTTTGAACGCTGTACGTAAAGAAGGTGATGTTACAGGGGCACTGAGATAATATTTCCGCTATTTGGTTTGGTTCCAGGGGAGTTAATGCATCTCGGTAATATTCTTCATGTATTATGTGTCATAAAAGCGACAAAACCCTTTCCACATTCATAAGAAATCTCTGAGAGATTTTACACTTGTGACTATATCATGAGTAAGTATTCTCGCGGTACGTACGGATATCGGCTGAAAAAGTAACACAAACAATTCGTATCGTATTCATGCTTGTTGTTTTTAAATGAAGGGCCTTCTCCTCTAACATCTACATCTATCAGCTGCCAGATCCATCAGGTGAAATACCTCTCGTGAACTCGGTGATAAACAATGCCATCCGCCATTGACGAAACGAGGCTTCTCCCATTCTCGCGGTATTACGAGGAATTAACGTTATTGAGTGTATGTAAGAGCAATCCTGCCGGAAAGGGCGGGAAAAAGTAATGATATGTCCAAGTTGGTATAAACTCCCCAATATTCGTGACATTGCAAGATTTTGATCACTCACAGACTTGGGCCACTTCCTAGTTACCAGTCGGTGATGTAAACAACCGCGAAGTGTCGCGCATCGGCGATTTCGGCAGAAAACGTGTTTACCGCGATAATAGGAAACCCGCGAGAATAGGAGACGGACCTATACTACATCTGTACGATGTTGCTATGCACATAGCTTAGTATTATGTATCAAGGAATATTGCATGCTAGAATGTAGGGGGGGCGGTTGGGTAGCCTAGTGGTTAAGGCGTTCGATTCCCAACATGAATGCAACGTGTGAAGCCTATGTTTGTTGTACCCCGCTCTGATATTGCCGGAAAGCGGCGTTCAACTATATTCACTCACTACCAGTAGTATTACTTCATATCAGATTTACTTGCTGCAAGAAACTGTGAAGTACAAATCATTCTGATTATTTTGTGCCAGTTTTGCAAGTACCATAGTTATACAACACTAACCGCACACTTGCATCTCCTTCCAGGCTGACGTTGCCCTGTGCTACGACGTGACCTCAGCGTACCTGCAGTGCCACAGCATCTCAACCAGCATGTGAAGACCAGCCCGATACAGCCAAACGTTTTGTTCTTATATGTATTTGTGCCCTATACTTTCATTTCTAAATCCATGTGTTATGGATGTACTGACTCAGTCTGACTGAATATATAATATGTAAATAGATTCTTGTTGATGAAATCATATTGTACTGAATGACTAAAGTTGTTCTCACTTGTGTGGAACATCCCAGCACGACACTGGAAGTGTTAAGATGTAGTTACTGTTAGTGTGTGTCATCAAGGAAGTACTGATGACGGAGGCAATGATGACCTAAATTTCCCTGCTCGCCAGATGAGCCGTTAAGATATTGAATGATGCTAATGTGCTTAGTTGCCGTTAGACATTTGCCTAAATATCTCATTCACAAACTGTGACAATCGTTCCCCATAGTAGAGAGACATGAACTATTTTGTATAGCATTTCAATAATAGGCTGTGGTGGTGGAGGTCTGTGAGCTCTGAGGAGCTGGAATTGTGATCCGAATTGTGATCGATAGGGTGGCGTGGTCATATAGCCGTGGGTTCCAAAACAGATTCCTAAGATTTGCAGATACCACGCTGACTTGGGGATTCTTCCACATGTAGCTCAAGTTGTACATAACCCTAGGTTACAATGTGTGCCCTGTCGTTCGGCGTGTCTAATTAG